GACTTAGTATTATTGTAAAAATATCAAAATAATATATAGAAGTTCTCAAATAAGAATAATACAAAAGCATATTTAGTTATTGGAGTAGAATAAATTATGATTTGTTTAATATATACATCATATTATTAAATATGAAACAAAGTATAAGTATAAAATTGTAATTTATCACTATTAATAGGGCGAGGTAGAGTGACCTTTTCCTATTCCCACTTCATAACAATGTGGGTTTTCCTAACCCCTATCCCCGCCCTAAAATGATTTAACCACCCCATAAGCGTTTTAAACGGGATGGGATGGGGCGAATCTCAGATGGGCAAGTATTTTGTCATCCCTAATCATAATCCATTTTGAAATTGCAGGGAATTTTTCAACAAATTTTAAAGGAAACTGATTAAAAGAATGTTTCATCAAATCTGCATAACAATATAATGTGGAAATTGTTATTTTCATTTATCTATATATATATTTTATTATTATTACTGTTGCTTATTTATTTAATTTTTTTGGGAAGGGGGTGGGAGGGATATGTTGCTTGGTTGATAGTTTTGCCAAAGTCATAGAAAATTAGATTCAAATATTCTAAGGGTATTAAAAAAATGTTTTCCCCGGTAAACACCTAGTGCGTTATTATTTTATTTTTTTAAATAGGTAAATACTCAATTATACTTAAAAATATCCGCTATGAAGCTCAAGTCCCACCTGTGAAGAATAAGAGTTTATACTAACTGAACTAATGAACCGCTGAGCTATTTATGCATAAACAAGATAACAAATTACATTCTCTACAATGAAATTTGATTTTTATGATTCAAAACTTTTTCATAAGCTATTAACCCTCCAAAATGAATTTGATTGATTATTAAGATTTAAAAAAAAAAAAAAAAATGGGTATTGGTCACTTTGATTCTCAAAAAACAAGATTTTTTAAATGAACATGATATGACGATGATCGGTGTTGATTTAATTATCAAATGGAATTGATATTTTAACAAAATATTTATTTGTTTATTTATTTTCCGATATTTGATACAAGGAACTAGATGCGACTTGACAAACACAGCTGAAGTGATTCCCCTTTGTTGGGGCTTTTTTTCTTTCAACATATTGTAATTTGGGACCACAAATGTTGCAACTTTCACGAAAAATGGAGTGACAAGAAAACCTATATATAGTTCGAGGTCATGGTCACTTTATTCTATCTCATGGCATGTGAACGTCTTATTAGAGCATATGTCTTAGTTGAGAAATAGGAATTTCCCCTCAAAATAGTAGTTAATTTAAACATGGATAATGATAAATTTAAAGACAATTATTCGTGTGAATCCTTTTTAATTATGGCTGCATTTAGTAACGATAAACGTTTCTTATTTTCTGTTATCAATCTCTAAAAAGGCAAAACGAAAATAAAAATCGTGTTTAATAAAATATTTTTGTTTTTCTATAACAGAAAACATTTTTAATTTTTGTGAAGAAAAGAGGAAACATGTGATATTTCTTATATTTTTGGCACTGTAGTACAGAAACGTTTTCACTAATGTTACTGCACAACTACTATTCATTTCAAATAAAATTCATATTATTTGTGTTATATACTAAGTTACATATTAAATGTTAATAAAAATATATATTTTAATATAGAATATATTAAATATTGTATATTATTTTTTATTTGATAAAAATATATTTTAATATATAATATATTAAATAATAATGTAAATTATTTTTTGTGACAAAATAATTTTTGATATAGAATATAATGTTATTAAATTATTAAATAGTAGACATTTTATATTATTATATATCATATCTATATTATATTTTATGTAAATATTAAATATAATTAATTTACAATATTATAACGCAATATATCTTTTATTACATATATGATATATTATTTAATATTTTTTTATTCATAATAAATTATCATATGCTAAATATATTATATATCACATAATAAATATATACATCATGCATATACATGTACTTATATACATAATTGGTGGGAATGTTTTTGTCTTGATATATCTAATTTTGTACTTATAATATTTTTAAAATTTATAATTTTAAATTAGATTTTCTAGGCTTTTTGATATTAATGGAAGCAAGTGTTGTGCCTGAGTGATTGGGTTACTCCCTGTATTCAAGAGTTCGTATTCAAGTCATCTACCCTCCCCTCTAATCACTAACTCTTAAAAATCTTGCCATGAAAAAAAATAAAATAGGAATGAAAAAAATAAAAAATTTAAAGAATATTATGTACATTTTGTAACAAATATGTTGTATTACTAAACACAGTTATTATTTTATATTTTCAAATTTGTGGCAATAACAATTGTTAATAAACATCATTACTGTTTTCTATTTTCACTTAAGAAAGTAAAATCATGTTTCTACTTTTTTAAGAATGTGAAAATAGAAAATAAAAACATTACTAAACGCATCTTATATAAACACATTTTTGAGGAAAACAAGAAGTATTCTACATGGTTGTGCGGTCATGACAAATAATATCATAGTCAAATTTCAACCAAAAATGAAAAAGCAGTCCTAGACGCCCACATCGTCTGAGGAACGACAATATACACAAATGAGAAGAAATGATAATTGCATATCGTCGGTTAGTGAGAGACTTGTATATATGGCATGAACATTTCTAACTAACAAGCTAAAGATCACATGAGTAGCTTTCAATCTTCCATTTTTAAGCAAGAAAATGTATACTTACCATGGCACTCAAAATGAACATATAAAACATGCAAAAAAGTATTTTTAATTTTATATTTATTCTCTCTCTCTCTCTCGAAATGTTTTGATGGAAATTTAAGCTACCACATAGCTTAATTAGTCAAATTTAATCATGGACCCTACACATTTTGACTATATATATATCTACGTATTAGTGTCGGTTGATCAACTTTAAGATCATTCATAATTCACCGCCAAATATAAAGTATAAATACAATTACAATTAGTCTTAGTTTGAATACATTGCATTTTGGCTATGTGGTTGGAAAGCATAGATCCAAAGGTGGTGCTTCATGAATATTTTCAAGCGGTCCCAAGCATCAAATGAGAATTTATATAATCCTTTTCTCATTAATTTACTTATATAAACTATTTCGAGACTTGATTAATTTGATATGTTTGTTAAGAAATATTAGCAGAAAATAGATCAAACACATAATCAAGAATATAAGGATTTTATTTAGTTTATTCAAAACTTAGGGATATGTTCATAGTTTGCATGATTCACTATGTTCAGAAAATTGTTAAAGAATACAAAAAATTCAGAATGAATAAATACACTAAGGCAAAATATATATATATATATATATAACAAGTGTAGGATATACTAAAATATTACCAAAAAATTTAGTAACATTGGACTCATAAGATGTATGGTATTGATCAGAATCAATATATACACGTCAATAGCTTATTTCCAGTGTCAACATTTTTAATTTATGACTCAAAATATTGTGTTAACTCTCTAAATTAATTGTTGAACGTGGTACAACACCGTATCGTGTACAAAAGATGATTTGAACTTCAGACTCATGAAGTAGTGGTAACTATCGGATTCTCTCTTAAAGAAAAAGACTAATGAACAGATCAAATGGCCCTAAATCATTGTGAACTAGCTGCGTTTGAGGTAACACTATAGTATATACTATTAAAATGATAGGTTTGAAACGAGTACATACATGTAATATGTGTTAATATATACAATGTGGCTGTAAATTAAGGAAAATGACGTGTTTAAGTACGTGATGTACATTTTGGAACATTTATAGCATGGAAAGATCAAAGAAGATATTCAGCTGCAAATATTAAGTACACATAATTAAGTACAATTAAGTCTTGATTTGAATACATTGCATTTGCTAATGTGGATGGAAAATGAAATCCAAGGGCGGTGTTTCATGAATCTTCTTCTCAAGAGGTCCCAAGCATCAAATGAGAATTTATAATCCGCTACTCAAATTTGTGGAGTATACCTCAACTCATGCGGTGACTTTCGTCTTGATTTGTGTTTTTCAATTTTGATTACGAGGATGAGGGTGAGGTTTGAATTCAATACTCCAATACTATGCTAACTATAATATACTCATAAAGTTTAAGCTATTATGGAGGTTGTAACTCTAATATTTAAATATTTTAACATTACACTTTTTATGTTGGTTGTAGCATCATTTTGAGACACCAACAACTTTGTAACCCAGGTATCCGAGGCTTTGCCCCGGCTACATCCCCACCACACCGTGTCCACACAGGTTGAGTTAAGTTTATGGCTTTTTAATTGTGGACATAAGCTTAAGGAATTGTTTGCACTTAAGGAATGTCGAATGTCATACCTGATCTCTCATAAGACATCAAGTTCAAGTGACTTACTACTCGAGTCAAACCCTTTGAGATTCAACTATGTTTACTTATTTTGAGGAATGATGTTAAATTGTTGACGCCAACAACTTATTTCAAGCGACACCGTAAATCGAGTTTGTGTCCACGTTTAAAATAAGTTGTTGAATGCGCTACAACACGTACTATCCTATGTACAACAACGGAGGATTATTCCAACTCCAAACTTCTGACATTAGAAGTAACTATCAATTTATTTATTAAGAAAAAGACTAACCAACAGATCGATCAAATGGCTCTTAAATCATGGTGAACTTCGCTGAATGTGAGGTAAGTGGATAGAAATATAGTACTCATTAAATCACAAGTTTGAAACAATTACAGACCAAGTAATACGTGTTTAATACAATGTGGCTGTAACTTGTAAAGAAAAGGACATAATAGTAGATGATGTACACAGTTTGTGACACAAGTCTTCAAATAATTTATGTCATGCATTATTATACAACATTTACATATAACTGTATTCATAACTACACGTTTATAGAGTTGTTCTCATTTACCATTCCCTTTTGTTTTTCTACAGATTGAGATATCTTAAATCCCAATCCAGTCCAATGCAAAAGCAGTACCAGATTTGCGTAAAAACCACTTGATTGCTTCACCTTCCTAGGCTCTCTCTCTATTCTCTCTCTCTCATAACTTGAATTCTAAGTATGATTCCCTGTAGTCCCTTTAAATCATCAGAAGTTATTCTTGATTTTCTCACTCAATCATCATCATAAACTCTCGCACTTGCTCACACCTCATTCACCAAAACTTGAATTATATTCAACACATAACAGTTGGCAGAGGTTATTATCAATAACATATATAGTTGTTGTGTAGATAACATAATTTCTTGCAGATTAACATATAATCGAATCGCGAATGGGACGACACTCGTGTTGTGTAAAGCAGAAGCTAAGGAAAGGCTTGTGGTCTCCGGAAGAAGATGAGAAACTGTTCAATTACATTACTAGATTTGGTGTTGGTTGCTGGAGTTCAGTCCCTAAACTAGCTGGTACATATACATACACACACACACATATATATATATCATCACTTACACATTTTTATGTTAATTTCATGTTATATACAATAAAATTGATTTATGCAGGTTTACAAAGGTGTGGAAAGAGTTGTAGATTAAGATGGATAAACTACTTAAGGCCTGATCTCAAGAGAGGAATGTTCTCACAACAAGAGGAAGATCTCATAATTAGTCTCCATAAAGTTCTTGGTAACAGGTGATTTAATCATATATATATATGTGAAAGAAAATCAATCAAATTTTTGAATCTTTAGTACGAAAATCGAATTGGGTAATTCATATTTTTTTGTATTTCTGTGTTTTGTATATATTCAGGTGGGCTCAAATTGCTGCACAATTACCAGGAAGAACAGACAATGAGATAAAGAACTTTTGGAACTCATCCTTGAAGAAGAAGCTAATGAAGGAAGGAATTGATCCCAACACACACAAGCTAATAAGCGAAAACGAAGTAAGAGACGAGAAGATTTCGAAAGAAAAAGCTTCACTACTGCAATTACCACAACTCACTGGACTTCCATCCATGTTGAGTACTGCCACAACAACAGAAATGGAGCCGTCTTTTCACATTAACAGCGCGGGTTACTACGTCGATGGACTAACAACAGAAGCCTCAAGAGAGCACATCATGAGCAAACCAGTGTTTGATCCTTTGTTCTTGTTTGATTTGCAAGCGGGATTGGATCCAATCGGCTACAATTCGAATCTTCCCACTCAGTACCAGCACAGCCATTTCGAGACAAATCCCAATTCTGGATTCACCTCAATGCCTACTTTGACAAGTTTTGATCATGGAAACTTGGGGGACATGGATTTTTCTGACAACTCGAATTCAAGAATGAACTCTCTCTTGTTCAGTGAAGCAAAGGACAGCACGAGTAATAGTTCCAATATGTTGGAAAATGCAGCATTCTCACCATGGAATGGTGATGCCAACAAGTTGGACACTTTGTTTCATTATCATCAATTCAATGGGGTGAAACCTGATCAAGATCAATTGATGAAGCCAAGTTCATGGCAAGAAGTGCAGCTTCATCATACACAGAATTCAGAAGATTTCAGTAGCTATCCGTTAACGTCATTGTCGGAAGATCTAATACCTGGGGTTAACATGGATGTGTTCCAGCAATTAATATGAACTGTAGAGTCATTTTCGTTACCTCGCTCTATATACAGATACACACAGACAAGATATGTTCATAGTACAGGAAGTTCTTACTGATGGTTTGAGGTGAGAATTTTTTTTTCTTCTTCTTTTCACTTTATTCTTTCTTTTATTCCTTCTGATAATAAGATAAAGAGTTTTGTAATATTTGTATTTCACATTCTGTATTGCTTAAAGGGTGGGAACAATGTTTTTTTTTACAGCTGTATTAAGGAAAATAATTAATCCCGTGGTCCAAATTTTTTTTGTGGTTTCTAACTAATTTTCCCAATGTGTTTTTGTTCCTCTCCTATTGTAAAGACTATCCATCTCTAGTGAAAATTGAACTCAACCTTCCAATTAATTGGTATTAAATTTGGCTGTTAGATCCATTAATTTGAAGAGTAACTCTGATAAAAATTTGTGGGGCATTGTTTCACTTTCGGATGCAATTTGAATCGGCTGAAACATTGGACATTAGCTCAGATGGTATGATCTGCATCCTGATAGGAAGGTTTGAATGTTCGAGTTATGTTCGGAGCAATACTGTGACTGTAAGCATTTGTTTGACCTCTTGAGAAAAAAACTTAAATCATCCGAGTTGACACGAAAAGTGTTGCTATTGTTTTCGTCTTCTAAGGAACTTGAACACCATCTTCATCTTGTATACTTCCTAAAAGAACAAAAGTTGAACAAAGATTTAGCAGCACTAATGCAAACTTTTTTTTATGTAAGAATTTCATTCCAATTTTACTACTAAAGAAGATGAACAATTTATGATCTTTTAATTTGATCTAGGAAGTGCCATCAAATATGATTTGTAAATCCAGAGAATTTAGTGCCAGCCTAGTAGTGAGCTGGTACTTGCACTCTATTCCATGATTGGAGGTCACAGAACAGCTGAGAGTCTGGCAGGTTGATTAAATGCTCAAAGATGCAAGTACTGCAGTGTTGCAACTTTGCAGGGTATCTCCCCCAATATATATATATATATATATGTATGTATGTATGTATGTATGTATGTATGTGCATGTATGTGTGTGTGTCTGTGTACATAGAGAGAGAGAGAGGAGATTGAATTACACACAAAACACCATTTTTTGTTGGCTGTACTCCTTTAAAGTTATTTACTACACATATCTGTACTTTTTCTTGCAGTAAGATACAGTAATTATAACATGTATGAATTTTGACATAACATATACGGAGTACAAGTAACTAACTTATTGTGATAGGACAGCCAAAAAGCAAGAGAAGGGTCAAGAATTTTTGGGTGGAGAGAGTAAAATTTGACAGCACCACACACTTAGTAACTAACTTATTGAAACAATTAAAGAATGGACAACAATCTAAATTTAGGTGAGACACCATAGAACTACTTCCTTCATATCAACTCCTCAGCAACAAGGAGTTTTAAAGAAAGAAAACAATTTCAGAAGTCAAGACTAACTTGGCTCAAGCCCTTACATAGAGCGGAAATGGAAACGTAAGATTCACATAGCTTACAAAAACGCTTCACCGTAGTTGTTATTGTGACTTTAACTTGACTCAATGGTTAGCTTAGTGTACGAGACTCCTTCCATTACGGAATCTAGGAAGGATCATATGTATGTACGTAGTCTTAACGAAAATAACTTTTAGAAGCATCTGTTTCTATGTTGGATTGCCCCCCCCCCCCCCCCCCCCCCCCCCTCGCCAAATGAAATCACCTTGACATCATGTGTTGGGCTCCCCACCCCACTCACATATCCCATCTTCAGTTTCCTCCTAATTTAAAAGATGTATCATTTTTTTCAATATAAGAATAACTTGGCTCAAACCCTTAAGATAGAGGATAAATGAAAACATACAATTCATATAGCTGATAAAAATGTTTGATTATTGTTGTTATTGTAAGCTTAACTCGGCTCAACAGTTACACACAAGTGACGAGACTCCATCCATTAAGGATATTGGGAAGAATAAGATATACACAATCTTAATGAAATATTAAAAAAATAATACATTGTCGGAATTCAAATGATGCCGATCGGGTATTGTGTGAGTGAGGGGGATGTGAGTCCCACCACTATGACAACGTGCAGAAGCCCACATCCCACTTACATCTCTCTTTTTTGGGATTTTTAAGTTAAGGAAATGTATCGTTACTCTTTGTGTTACTCTTTGTACCGTTTTACAGGAGTTCACAACATCCAAATTTTACATTGCAAAAACCCTAATGAACATTAATAGGAGGACCCATGGAGTGATGATGAGCCTTCAGGACAGTCTTTCTCAAGAATAGTTGGGACATAGGAGTAATAGATGGCTGGTGGAGAGTCAATCAGTTACTAAAAAACTGCCCTGAGATATCTCCTCTGTACTTCATGACCCATAAATTGTCAATCCCAATTTCCTAAGGGCCACCCTTATATTAGCATTTTGGTCCTATGGTCCAAATTGATTAGGACACAGACCCCATAAGGTCCTCATCAAATTTATTTAAATTTTATGTAGGCCGTTAGATTGACTAAAGATCACTTAAGACTCATTGAAACTCCAAGAAACCCAAAGTCATGAGCACATTTTCAATGTCAATTAGTTCTCTCTACATGTGCATAAAGAAATGGTTGGAAATTTGCTAGTGTTAGGTCATTGTAGAGTTTGAAAGGGTGGCTAAAAAGTCTATGCACTCTTAAAGTTGCAAACTCCAATGCCAATACAATCACAATCAAGAAAACTATATCACAAAATGGACTGGCATTGTCATTGATTTAAGTGCTTAATTTTCCTATCAATCGTGTTGAGAAAATTGCCAAGGCTATCAATATTAAAGAAAGGCATGGAAAATATGTCAGTGTCACTGCAAGGAAATGTAGCTTTTTAAGTCATAAAAACCTCGAACGCGCTTACAATTATACCTAAGAAACTTTAGGGTTTTCTTCATCGTTACTCGTTTATGGCTTTACTTATTGGACTAATATTTACTAATCGATCACATGTCTCCATATTCATCCCAGAGAATTATATGGTCGTTGATGATACATGACCATACCATTTTCATCATTTTTCGATAGTTGATAAGAAGAGATTTGAACAGTTGAGATGGGCTATGTCTGAAAAAGTGGTGTATGTTAAAACTAAGAAACATGAATCATGTATGCATTAGCTCTTCGGAGTAATGAGAGAGGTTATGATATAGAGGGAAAATGGAAAATCTCTGCAAAGTTTCCAATCTGCACAATTAATCAGATGGATCCTTTATAGAATTGTTTGCTTGAGGGGCAGTTATGCCATTTCATTTGATGAGAAAAATAGTAAAGATATGAAGAAGGGTCACATCAAATTTTCATCGATAGAGTTGGAGACCACCTGGTATCTGACTTGGCCTAAGAAATTTTCAGGCCTGATTGCTCTAATTGGCCACATTCAGGCACATATAGGACTTAGTCAGGTCCTTCTTGCATCGAGATCGGACAAACTATGGGCCAGTAGCCAAGATAGCTCAGGCCAGAGCCCGATGGGCTTTGGGGAGACTAAGCAAGACGTCCCGTGGGCTCGACCGAGAAAAATGGCGAAAAAGGAAGAGGAAAAATAAACAAAGCTCAACTGCCTCACATCAATGTATCGATTGATACTATATCCCAAGCGATCTCACAATAACATGTAGCTTTGTTGGCAATACCGCGCTGAAGGTCCAACCCTTTACCACTAAGATAACACCGCCACCTAGCTTTGCTTGGAATGATTGAATTGGTGCGAAGAACAAAATTATTTTAAATAGAGCAATGCTAAGGACAGTCTTTATTAATTAACAGTGGCTCTTTTCATTGATCATAATATTTGTAATTAATAAATTTATTAATGGTATGTTTCCTATTTTATAAAACACTAAAAATATATATATTTTTTATAATACTACCCTTTTAATCTCTCTCCTCCTTCAAAGCATATCAAAGATGTCATTAATACATTTTTTCTACTTTTAATATGACATTAAATAATTAATTTTAACACAAAACTACCTTATTTCTCTCATTTGCCTTGCGCACACATATATATATATATATAGACACACACACAGACATAACAATGAATTCTTTTATTTTCTTTTAGTTATTGTTTAACAGTAATGGTTGAGATATAATATATATATATATATATATATATATATATATTTTCTTCTTCATTGAGAGATAAGAATTCATTCTCTATGATGATTTAGTTAGTAAAGGATAAAATTAGATGATAGCAATTGATACTCGCACGCGCACACACACATACATACATACATACATACATACATATAGAGAGAGAGAGAATGAATTCTTATCTCTCAATGAGAAAAAAAAATAATAATAAATTTTATCCCTCAATTATCACTGTTAAACATTAACTAAAAGAAAAGAATCAATTGTTATATATGTGTGTTAAAATTAATAATTTAATGTCATATTAAAAGTAAGAAATATGTAATGTATTAATGACACATTTGATATGGTTTAAATGATATAGTTTAGGTGAGGAGAGAGACTAAAAAGATAGTATTGTCAAAAATATATATATATTTTTAGTGTTTCATAAATATAAGAAATATATCGTTAATAAATACATTAATTACAAATATTAAGATCAATGAGAAGAGTTGCTGTCCTTAGCATTACTCTTTTAGATATTAAGGGTTACTTTAGTGTGGTAAAATGGAATAAAAGAAAGTGGAATTGAATGGTTTTTTTTTTTCATTGTCGTGTTTGGTGCCAATTTTAAAATTAGAATCATCATTCTCCACCATTCTTAAAAAATGATCATTTCATTAAAATCATTCCACCTTTAAACAAAAAGAATGACCATTCCATTCCCACCTCCATTCTCATTCCATTCCAATTCATTCCACCACACCAAATTAGCTATAAAAGTTAATAACCCATAATAGTTACACAATTCTAAACAAGTATCATATTCCGCACACCCTTTTTATATTGTACTGGCAGTAAGTAGTAACACATTTATAGTCACAATTGTGCCTCTTGTACAAAGAGGTTTTGGTGAGCACAACCTGAGCATAATGCGAGAATATGAAACATCTCCACAAGCAAAATAGACACCTCGCTAGAAATACCAAAAAATTGAAAAAGAAAATGTTTCTGTTTCACAATAAGGTCCACCAAAGGACCTCGGGTAAAAACACTAAAAATTGGATAATTCAGTACACGGGAGAGTTTGAGAAACCTCTCATGTCGAGAGGCATCCCAAATGACGGGTCAAGACTCAGCAATATAAGCCAACTGTGGCAGATTAGTTCTTCAACTTCAATGTTTAAAAAAAAAAAAAAAAATACACCCCTCCATATCTTCCAATGTCATGACAGAATGGAAAACAGGAGCAGAGGTAACAAACTACCAAGAGTTTAGAGTTTCTTAATAATAATAATAAATAGATTAAAAAGGAGCAAATTGCATTCGCATGGCACTTTAAAGATGAACCAAAACCATCTAATTTAAACTATACAACTGTTCAACAAGAATACTGCCAAGAAAGAAAAAAATTCATCAATTTTTCCTTATTCATGTTCTCAAGGTATTATCAGCAACTTTAAACATTTCCTTATCCAAGATTTGCAATGCATCAGCAAAAAAATAATGAAATTTAATGGCTTATTTGGTTTGTAATTCTGAAAATAGTTTTCAAAAATTCAGAGAACATAAAGCAGTTTGTAGAGAACAATAAAATCTCTAAAAACAAACCTTTTTTTAACTTCGTTTTTAGAAAACTGAACCAAGCAGAATTTTTTTGTATAGTTTTCAATTTTCAATTTTATGAGAACAGATAGTTACAAACCAAGCAACGCCAAAGTATCGCACCATGTTTAAAAGCTGATTAAACTCGTTAAGAAAACAACAAAACCAATCAACAACAAAGCTTGATCATGATAGACTGATAGAGACAAAGGCATGCATAGACTGGGGGATGAGATAGCATAAGCGACGTTATAGCTTCCCAGTTCCATGACATGTAAATTTTATACCAACACCATAACACAAACAATTCTTAAAGTAATCCCCTCGTGACCATCAAGGACTCTATCCAACAGGCAACCTTCGCTACAATGTCCAACACTATCAGTCTCTCAGAACTTGCAAGATCCATTCAACTTGAACTAAAAGTTCTATTCCCTTTGCAAAATTTATAAATGAAGATAAGAGGAAAACACTCTTAAAATTGGACGCATGTCAAGCATCATCAGCAATGTATCGGATTGTGACAAAAGCAAGGCTACAAAAGAAGAGAACTCTTGCTTGGTCATATGATCGAATTTGATTAATATAGCTGGTCTCGGGAAGCACCTTATCATTGTACGCATGTCACATACGCATCTAGATGCCGGTTAACCAGCGCATCAAATTCACCCCATCATACTAATATATACCTAAATATATGTATGCATATGTATGTGGATACAATCATTTAGATATCAAATGGAAAGAAAAAATATCCAAAGCAATCTAGGAACGTAATAGAAAGAAGTGAATAGTTAGTTCCTTTCCCTCAAACTGATTCGGGAGCCCACTGTCTTAACCATAACATCATCAGCCTAAACTGGTCACACTAAATCAATCAAAACAATTGCCTTACACATCCCACAATTCAAATACCAACTATATACCACAACATATATAATAAAAACATCATAAAACATTCATAAATCTACAGCATTTCCCATGAAAGCTAATCAAGCAACAGATCCAGAAATGAGAAATCAAATTCAGATTAATTTTTAACCCAAAAGACAACAATTCTTTAGTACTTCAAAAAACAAAAACAAAGCTACAATACTTCGAAAGTTAAAATTAAGTACTCGTAACATAAAAATCAAAACTTGAAGGTTCAAGTAACAACTCTGCAGTACATCAAATTCACTAGAAATAACAAAATTCATGAACACTACAGCAAAAATAATCTCTGAAGGACCCGTAACTGGTTACATTAGAATCTATCAAAATGAAATTGTTCTACACATCCCACCATTAATTATTATTACCAACAATAAACAATAAAATATATAATAAACCCATCATAAAACTATGGTATTTCCCATCAAGATCCACTCAATAAACAGATCCAAAAATTATTAAATCGATTAATTTAACCCAAAAGACAACAATCTAAAGTACTTACAAAACAAAAACAAAGCTACAGTATTTCGAAAGTTCAAACTTCAGTACTTATACCACAAAAACCAAAACTTGGATGGTTCAAATAACAACTCAACAGTACTTCAAATTCACCAAAAATAACAAAATTCATGAACTCTACTCACCAGAAAAAAAAATGCTGGGTACCCCTAACTGGTCACACTAAAATCAATCAAAATGAAATTGTTACACAAATCCCACAATTCAAATATAATTACCAACAATAACCATTATATATATATACCAGTTAGGGGTACCCAGCATTTTTTTTTCTGGTGGGTAGAGTTCATGAATTTTGTTATTTTTGGTGAATTTGAAGTACTGTTGAGTTGTTATTTGAACCATCCAAGTTTTGGTTTTTGTGGTATAAGTACTGAAGTTTGAACTTTCGAAATACTGTAGCTTTGTTTTTGTTTTGTAAGTACTTTAGATTGTTGTCTTTTGGGTTAAATTAATCGATTTAATAATTTTTGGATCTGTTTATTGAGTGGATTTTGATGGGAAATATATATATATATATCCCACAATTCAAATATAATTACCAACAATAACCATTATATATATATAAAATAAACGCATCATAAAACATAGGTATTTCCAATCAAAAGCTAATCAAACAACAGATCCAGAAATGAGTAAATCAAGTTCAGATTAATTCAACCCAAAAAAGCAACAATTTTAAAGTACTTAAAAACAAATACAAAGCTACAATACTTTGAAGTTCAGGTTACGCGCTTATACCATAAAAATCAAAACTTGAAAAAAACCCTAATATGAGATAGATCAAACCTATGCGGTGAGCACAACCGCGCCACCAGCCTCCTTGATCTTCTTCTCGGCGGTCTTGGAGACGAGCTTGGCCTTGACCACAATAGGCTGCGACGAAGACAACACACCCTTACCCAAGACCTTGAAGTAGCCGAACTGGGTCACATCGACGACGGGCACTTTCTCTGTGCTGGCCTTGTCCTTGACCTCTTGAGGCACGAGAGACCACAGCTTGTCGATGTTGACAATGGGGCAATAGAACTTGTTGCGGAGCTTGTGGAAGTACCTCATGCCGACCTTGCCGAAGTACCCGGGATGGTACTTGTCGAAGAGGATGCGGTGGTGGTGCATGCCTCCGGCGTTTCCGCGACCACCGGGGTGCTTGCGGTGCTTTCCGATGCGGCCGTGGCCGGCGCTCACATGGCCGCGCTTCTTGCGGTTCTTCTTGAAGCGGGTGGTCATTTTCTCTCTCTAGTTTCTCTCCCTACACGAGACTCCCGGGGTTGCTGCTGCCGTCTGAGGGCTTCTGTGGAGCGGCGAAGCAAATGTAGCTAGGGTTTTGCGGATTTATAGATGAGGATAGTTTGGAATCGTGTGGCCTTTTTTACCATCTTGTCCTTTTGGGTAAGGGTGTCAATTTTGCCCGGCCCAACTGATACGGGTATGGAAATTTTGGGTGAGTCTCATTGAGACCCCGTTTAAAATAAATAAAAAAGAAAAAAAATACTTGTATAAAATTGATGTACTCTATTTTTCACAATAAATTATTTCTTAATATGATTTGGTAACAATATTTTTTAAAATTTTTATATTGCTAATTTTACTATAATATCTTTTAATAAGATATTAATAGCAACTTTATAAAGTAAGTAGTTTAATTGTCTTTTATAAAAAATAAAAGAAGTACAAAATTATCTAAAGAAAAAAGTTTTCTAAAATATTTAAACTCTATTCAAAAACAGTTTAAAGCTTGCAGAACTTCATATGTTATGTTTGAGTTTTGTCAAATTCAAGTCATGGGTTAGCCTTCATTATTTCTACCTGTGGTGTTTTACAATTCGACCCAAAAATTTAAGTTATTAGGTAGGGTTAACATTCCGTCCATATATATATCCTAATCATTTTCTCTTATGGTACAAAATGGAAACAACATTCATCAATAAGGGTGCACAAAAGAACCAGAACCGAAACCGTGAGAACCGGAACCTTTTTTTTCGGTTCTCACGATTTCGATTCCAAATTTAGGAACCATGTACATAGGGTTTCGATTCCAGCTCCAGCCAGTGGGAACCAGTAAGAACCGAAACCATATATATATATATATATATATATATATATTTAATTTACACTAAAAAAAAATAAGTAAAGATAAGGCTTGACCTTAGACAATAGACACGTGAAAAAAAATTATTATTATTATTACTAATCAGTAAAATTCATATATGTATTATGTATATGTGAACTGTGAAGAAGTAAGTATTTTAGATCCTCTCATCAATCTAATCCAAATTTTATATACATATAAATACTATATAGATAGATATAGGTATTGATTTAGAAAGAGAAAAGGAATGATTAATACCTCAATTTGCTTCCTGGACACAGCGATATGCAAGATGGTGTTGCCTTCGCAATCCTTCCAATTCAACAATTCCAAGTCTTTCTTCAGCGATTCAATCAACAAATTCAACTCCGCCAATCGATTGTGCTTCACACACAGGTGCAAAATCGTCTCGCCTCCATCCGTCAACACTCAAGTCGACTCAGGGTTGACTCGGACCAACTCATTCAACACCTCGACTCGGCCTTTAATCGCAGCCGCAGGAAGAGCTGTTCTTCCATCTATGTTGCGAATCGTACACATGTATGGATCTACCAATACCAATTCTTTGACTATTTTGAGGTGGCTTTTTGCTAATGCCAGGTGGAGTGGCGAACAACCTTGTGAGTCCAACTCGGTGGCGAGTTTGGGCTTTCGACTCAGTATCTCCTTGACGAAATCGAGGTGGCCGAGCATGGAGGCCACGTGTAGAGGCGTTTGGGAGTGATAAGAAATGATGGTTCTGTCCAAAATTAGTTAACGTTTCTCATGAAACCGAACCAATTCCATATTATACGGTTTCGATTCCAGCTCCGCTTTTAAGAAATTCTCGGGAGCGGTTTCGGTTCTAGTTCTGACCAGAACCGTGTACACCTCTATTCATCAACAAGTTACGAGTTCAATTTGAACAAACGACTCCGAACTCAGTCTTATACCAAACCTAACCGATAAAGGCCATAGACTATTTTATTTTATTTTTTTGTTGGGCCGAATAAACTGTACCCAAACATGTGCTATTAGTAACTGAGCCCAAACAGAGCTTAATCCAACTCTAACACAAGTAATCCAAACTTGTTAAAATAAAGTCGATTGGGCTTAGAATCAAAAGTTGGATTGGCATGTACGGAATTTAGTTGACAATTTTGCATCTAGATTTATGCTGGAGCTATCTCAAGTCTCAACAAGTTTATCCTGCCCAAGTTGCACCATTTAACAAAGCGAACTCGTCACAATTGGCCCGTGATACAAAGTCTTCTACTTTACTATTACAACATTCGTATTCTTGCCTACTCTAGTCGTTGTCTTTATTCACAATTTTTTTGTGGGACTAATATGATTCACGGTTTATGCGAGAGTGTCGTGAGTTGTGATAATATTACGGGCTAATTATCTTAGAAAAAATTTATTGTGGGGCTCATATGATTGATGGGTCACGTGAAAGTGCAGTGACACCCTTTCTCTCTGGTCTATATTCCAATTAAAAAATGGTTCAAAAAAATCACTTAATCCATTTAAAAAAATGCAGAATTTGCAGAACAATTCAGAAATACTGATTGGAAATACATTAACAAACACTTTTTCTCTGGTCTATAATCTATATTCCAATTATCAAATGTTTCAGAATTATAGAAACTGATCTTTAATGAAACATTAGTTGAATAGAGGAGATAAAAAACTGAAAACCTATATAAAATCCTTCTATCCAAACACACCCGTATCAAAATTTTAAAATAAATACAAAAAAAAAATATTTTTTCAAAAATAAAATGAAAAAAAAAAGGTCAAAAACGTAAATTCAAACTTGAACTTGTGGCGCCTCATCATCACCACCGCGGTGACCACCACTGGCACTCCTCAATTCGGACGACATCACAATCGGCGGTAGCGCTGCTGCCGCCTCCTCCCCAACCAAAATCATCACCACCTCCTTCATAGTGGGGCGGTGGAGTGGGTTAGGGTGACAACAAGCCAACCCAAGCTTCAACACCGCCTCCATCTCCTCCACCTCGCACTCCCCTTTAATCCTCTCATCCGCCACTTCCCACAACCTCCCCTCCACATACTTCCCCCTCACCCAATCAATCAACAGCGCCTCCTCCTCCTCCGCCCTCAACTCTATCGGCCTCCGCCCACACGCCACCTCCAATACCACCACCCCAAAGCTATAAACATCACTCGCCTCCGTCGGGGCCGCCACCGTAGCCAGCTCCGGCGCCAAATATCCCAAAGTCCCCACCACCCTCGTCGTGTTCGGCACCTCCCCTTGCGTATACAACTTTGCTAGACCAAAATCACCCAATCGACCTCTCATGTCAGACCCCAACAAAATGTTGCTCGACTTAATGTCTCTGTGAATCACCACTTGGTCCCAACCATGGTGGAGATAGTTCAAACCCTCTGCTACGTCGGCGAGGATTTTTCTCCGATCATCCCAACCCAAAAGCGTCTTGGGTTTGTCGAATATCCATCGATTCAGGCTACCATTCTGCATATAATCGTACACAAGCATCAATTCGTTGCCCTTTCGACACCAACCTCGCATTTGAACCAAGTTCTTGTGTTGAAGACGACCCATACTCGAAATCTCCGCCATGAATTCTCTCAAACCCTGCTTCGAGTCGTGGCTTACGCACTTGACGGCGACGACTGTGTTGTTGGGTAGTGTTGCTTTGTATACTTTGCCGAACCCACCAGTCCCTAGAAGCTCATCTTTGGAGAAGCCATTGGTGGCCTCACTGAGCTCTTCGTATGAATATCTGTGCGGCCAGTATTCGAGCTCCCAATCTTCAATCTCATCCTCTTCTTCTTTCGTAGTCTTTCGCCAAAACCAGTAAAACCCAGATAAGCAAACAATGAATACAACAGATGCAATCGTAATTCCGGCAATAGCTCCGGAAGAGAGCGAAGAGGACGATGACTGAAGCTTAAAAACCGGCAAATTCGTAGTGTTGATGGCTCTTGCAGGACCAGTGTCGCTGAGACTCCAAGCGAGGATCCTCTGTGCTTCAATCCAATGGGTTTTCGAAGCAGAGAACCCAACAAACATATCTGCAGAGACATAGTTTGCAATTATTGGATCTCTGTAGGTGAGCAACGGCCGGGAAGGCCGAGCCATCCCAGCCGGAGCGATTGTGACGTTGATTTCAAATTTTGATCCATCGAATTCAATCCAGGCATGTATGTTCTGCCCATTTCGCATATCTACAGGGATGAGATCATTACTATTGGTGGAGTTATAGTACCCACCGCTAACAGTGACCGCCGATTGGATGTTGTTCAGGTCGATTCCGATGTGATTGTCATCTGGGTCGTTGAATTCCGTGTTCCGGCCGGTGTCGAATTCGACGACGAGGAGGGGGGCGACGGTGGGGACTGTGGCGTTGGAGAAGAGGCCGAAGTATTGGCTGGCGAGGGCGCCTGGGGGTGCGGTGGAGTTGGAAAGGACGAAGGCTAGGCCGAAGCCGGGACTGGAACTGATCTCCGGCAAGATGGAGAAGACGAAGGAGGTGGAGAAGGAAGAGATGGTGGTGGAATTGGAAATGGATTTCATTTGGATTCGAGATCGGTGGAACACTCGGCCGATTGAGTACTGGTTGGAGTCGTTGGTGAGTCTGATGGTGGAGGACTCGAGCCGAGCGTCGTCGGTGAGGTTGAGGTTGAGGTCGGCGGTGGCATTGAAGGAATTGAAGAGGAAGTCGAGGGCAAAGGAGGAAGGGAGGAGTGCTAGGAGGAGCAGAAGGCGAAACATTTGGATAGAATTTGATGAGAGAGAGTTCATCTCCGGCAGCTGTGTTACACCAGTATGTACAGAATTAGTGCACATTATTCCCTAAATAACAGAGGATCTGAGTTCATAAACTAAACCTTAGTTAAATACAAGTAGTACTAAATATTAACAAAATGTAAAATAAAGGTACAAATTTAAATGGGATATTTATTTACCAAAAGAATAAAAAAATTTAAAATGGGCCGAACATTAGAAAAGCCCAATACAAACACTTTTGTTGATGTACAACAGACTTAACAGTATAGGCTAAAGCCTGACAAGGTCCTTTGTGGATTTACAATTCTAGCCCAAGAAATCATACTAAAAATTCCATGTTACCTTGCCTTTTTTAATTTTTAATTTTTAATTTTTTTTTTCGATAATGATATCCGGTCCCTTAAAATATTTGGTAATCCACCACCAAATACATAAAATTCTCCTTAATAAAATTATAATTAAGTTATACCTTAAAAGTCACTGATTGTATTTGAATTAATTCATTATTTGTAGAAAGAAATGAGGTCAGAAGGGGCTTCGGGTTTCCAATTAAAAACTTAAATCCTCTCAAAATAAAGCAATTAACTATCTTGCTTTTGGTTTATCACTTTTTTTTTTTTCTTTCTTTCTTTCTTTGTATTATGTTATGCAAAATGATAAAGGGGCCGAAGTATTACCCCGAAAGATCGACCGAATCTTCCGTGGCAAATCCACGTAAGATTTTATAAAACCTGTTGCTCTTTTCAAGATTTTCTTTATTCAAAAGTTCGCTATTCCAAGCTTTGAAAAGGTTGGCTCTGCCTTCAAAAGTACCGCCACCACCTCTAATAGCCCAAAACAGATCTTCACCCATGGATTCTCTGAATTCATTCAAAACTTTGCCATTCACATCAACAACAATTGCGTCGACGACATTATCAATCAAGAGTCCATACTTTCTCATCAGATTCCCATACCCTCCTCCACTAAAGTGGCCCCCAACACCCACTGTGGGACAAACACCATCTAGGAAGCCATGGACTCTGCTCTTCTCAGCAATTCTATAGAAAAGTTCACCTAGTGTAGCTCCTGAATCAACCCACACAACCTCATTTGCTATGTCGATTTTGCACGTAAGTAAAACAGCCACCTGCTTACCTCACCCCAAAAAATAAATTGAAAAAGAAAAATTGTTCGAGAAGAATACGATGAAGGCGATTTAGTAGTGATGACCGCTGGAGGGCAGCCCTTCTCTGATCCTCCCGTGCCAAAATAATTTAGGAGAAATAAGATAATTCTTTAGGGTCAGAGTTTTGCTAGCAATTGTTGTAGATTGGATATACAATCCTCTTTGTAAGCCAATAAATTACATTCAAAATAATTACTTTTGTTTGACAAAGTGTCTATGGTATGTAGTTTTAGTTCATTTGGACTGTTTTTTTCGCCTGTTTTGTTCATAAAATTTAAGCGTATAAGATTGTTACTCTTACAAGAATTCTTCCAGCAGATTGTAAGGTATAATAGTGATTTAATTTGATGTATCAGTGTAAAATCTAAACTATACTACATATATAACAAGATAAGGATAAGTCGATAAATGATAAATATAAGTGGAACAATCATGTTCTTCCCAACTCTTCTTTTGTTTTCTCATCGACATATTAAAAGAATACGAATAATAAGACTAAATCAAAATACATAAAATATATTCCCAACTCTTCTTTTGTTTTCTCATCGACATATTAAAAGAATACGAATAATAAGACTAAATCAAAATACATAAAATATCTTCCCAACTCTTCTTTTGTTTTCTCATCGACATATTAAAAGAATACGAATAATAAGACTAAATCAAAATACATAAAATAAATTGGGAAAAATTGTAAATCATACCTTCAATCTTGTTTAGGGTCTGAATTACATGTAAGATTTGTAAGGTTTTTCTCTCAACATGAGCTCTCTATAATTTTGGGGACTCTTGAGTTTCCCGCATTATACAATCACCTTCCCTCCCTTCTTTTTTTATTTTTTATTTCTTTTACCTGTGGACACCTTCCCTCCCTTCTTTTTTTATTTTTTATTTCTTTTACTTGTGGACTCTTTTACTCCCTTATGTAAGAGGAGTGAGAATTTGACGTGGCTTTGCCACGAAAGATTCGGTCATTTTTTCGGGGGATACTTTTCGGTTCCCCTATCACTGCTCTTATGTTATTTAGTTGCTTAAAAGTACAAGCATTCCAGAGATAATTAAGCTAACCAAAACCAGTGTAATTATGACACCTAATCCATTGAGTGACTTTTGGATCATTTTTTTTTTGTTTTTCAACTTCCATAAACTAATATCATAACTGCAGTTTCATTAAATTATAAGTGCATTTTTACTTTTTATATGGTCAAGATCGAAGTAGTATTACTGAACATTATATTTTATATGCATGACAGAGCAGATGTCTTGATAGTCTAGTAGGTTAGTATTTTCGTTGGATTATTATTATTTTTATTCCTTCATTAGAACAATTATATCGGTATCACAACAAATACACCATTCAAATTAGGAGTGTGGTTCGAAAGCGAAACCTCAAATACTTACCTCCCGAATCTTTGCCAACGCTGTTATGCCCCTTGGGGCCCTTCGGTGAATTTTAGAGTATCAGGTTTCGACTCTCTGCATCTACTAACATAACTTTTAACCCTTCTTGCCTTGTAAACAAAAAAAATCATGATATATATATATATATTATTGTGAAATATAAATACTCTAGCTAGATTGAAGGTTTTGTTCTTTGGGAAACGGTTCCACATCTGGCTACTGGTACCACTGCTGATACAGTTTAAGGTAACTTTATCCTGTTCTGTTTCAAACTTCCTAGTTGATTTAGAATACTACCAAAAGTCATATGCACGAAATTTCCCTTATTTTATGAAGGATTAGGTCTTTGAATATTCTATATAAACCTTGGTTTCATCTAGGTTTGTATGGCTTTTGCATTACAACTTCATAATTCGTAAAAGCCTTAAGATAGGTATTTTTGCAGAAAATCAAAGTTGATTTCTCTGTCATTCTTTCTAGAACACATACATAAACACAAGAGTAAGTTTAGAGTGTTGTTCAAATCCTGATCGTGATCAAAGTTTAGCATCTACAACGGTCAGAAAAAAGCAGATCTAATTCTACACCGAATTCAGATATTGAAGAACATAAGTAAAAGTGATCGCACTTTGAAAGGGTTAAAGCATTCAAGGAATGTTGTTTGATCTACCTGCAACCCTTCTACAGAGATTAAGAGTAAGCCTGAGGTTAAGAACTATTGGACGAGACGTCACAAAGCCAGAGAATTGTCAGCTATTGGTATTTGGTAGAACGATAGGATGTGAGCCTGAGTCAAAGTTTAGTACTTTGTTTCAAACATTGTTGATCGGTTTACTTTGGACTGCATAGTCCACGAAATTTTTCCCATGCAAACAATTGGTCTATTTTACCAATTGGGATTTCCTCACTAAAAATCATGGTGTCATCTCTAACTCCATTACTTTGATTTATTTTATTTTGCATGTGATTAATTATTTAATTGCTAAAATAAGTCAAGTTAGAAAGGCACAAATCTGTTTCTAAAAATACTAAACTTTCTAAATCTTCCGCTGCGTAAAACTCACAATGGCATCAATGGAAAAGCTGACGATGAAATTGGCCGAAAGGGTTAGGAAGGTAATGGAGATCATTAGTGTCGTTCGTTCTCTCTAATATCTATATATATATATATATATATATATATATATATATATATATATTGTGTGTGTGTGTGTGTGTGTGTGAGTGAGTAATAGAGATAAGTGACTAATTTTTTTTTTTTTTTATTCTTATTTATTTATATATATATTGTAGGTGCAAAATTTCTCCTAGTCAAAAAAGAATTAAAGAAATAATACAACTCACTCAAAAAAAATAAACATTAACAAGAACTATTGAGAGAAAAACGTATATCTCTCGATGATCTTTATTGGACGACTAAGCCTCTATTTATATACAAAAAGGTGGTAGAATTATGGTAGGACTTGTCGTGCTTGTCCTTCAATTCATTCCATATACAGCATTCTTTAAAGTAGAATTCTTCCTTTTTACAATTTTTTCCATGCCAGACTTTCCCTGCATAGAACTTTCATTCTATGTTGGATCCTTTGATTAGCAACACTAGTTCCTTCTTTAAATAAACTTTGGGCCGAATGCAACTTGGTCCAAATGACTTTGTTAATGGGCCGCAAGTTCAACACTAGCAACATTGGGCTGTTGGCACCTTTATCCGGGCTTGAACAGGACTGGGCTTTTGTAACCCATCAAGAGATTAAAAATAAAACTTCTATTGTGGCTACGTGGATGACTTTTATTGGTGGGGGATTTTTCCCTCCACACTTTGCCCCCAATTTCCTCTTTAATTGGACTACGGCTCCTAATTAAAAGGAAATTTAAGTTACACAGTTGCCAATTTTACAAAAGGTGGTTCGAGGAGTGTCTATTGCGATTCTGGCCAAAGAGCTTCCTCAAAACTTGTTTTTGCCCCCTACTGTGTTCATTGCACTGTAATACCCCTAGTTTTCAAAAGGATATAAAAGGGATTTAATTATTTATTTTATTGTATTTTAGATGCTTACGTGGCTATGTGCTTATGTGGTTTCATGTTATATGCTTATTTGTTTTAATTGCTTATGTGATTTATTTGATTTTTTTTTTAGGTGTTAAATGATGTGTTGTTTAATTAACTTATTTGTTTTAATTTAATTGTATGCTTATGTAGTAATTGAAGTAATTGTTTATTTATTTTATTAAATAGTGTTTTACATTTAAATTTTAAGGATGGACTTGGGCAGTAGTAATAGACCAACAATTAGGTCTCATGGACTACTTGAATAGGGATTGTTTATGGGTATGGATAATTACCCATACATGGTTGGTTGTATATATACTTGAGTATGTGTGTTTAAGAGGATAAAATATTATTATTATTAATTATTTACTTTTATTATAATAATAGTAATATTATGTTAATAGGTTGTATATATATATATATATTTATGTATATATATATATATATATATATATATATATATATATATATATAATTATAAATTATATGTAT